ACTGATTTACCAGTGCTTTCAGTTCACTGTTAACTTTAGTAAATGGTATTAATTGTTGAAATACCTCTGCCACTGCTAGTCCAGTGGGCACAAATCTGGATTAATTTTGTCAGGATGATAGGCAATAGTCACAGAAATACAGAAATAAATCTGTCAGCGTAGACTTTAACTTTCCAGCAGTGATTCTGCACCATGGCCACTCAAAACTTCATGGTGACAGCAAGTACAGAAGTGGGATTATCCTGCTCCGAAAGCAGCTAACTCTATAGAGCCTGTGACATGCAGCAGAACAGTTCTTAATTCCATCCATTAGAGAACAGTGCTGTGCACACGCAACATCCCCCCGAAGAACACTGCACCAGGAGCCCTAATAGATCTTGCTGTTCCCTTGTTGCGGGCGTGGGAATGAACACGTGCATTTTGACCTCTTCTCTCTAAAATGACACACAATTGTTCTGGCTCTTATTTCTGATTCTATCTTTGTGCAGGTTTGAGTTTGTTTACAATTATCTGTACTTAGCCAATTTGCGGTCCAATTGGGAAGAAGTGAAGAAACATGCAGAAAAAGCTCCTCAGCCCGAAGCTCGCAGATATGTCCTTCCCTTAAACATTGACAAGGTAACAGTTCGACTGGGCTATGCACGTCGGGAAGTTTAACTACATTCAGTTCTCTGAAATGCGACAGCCTCCCTGGCTCCTGCAAATCTGTTGCAGACTGTTTTCAGTCTAACTGAGTTTACATTTCTTTTGAAGGAAAAACCCCTTAAAAATCTGTCTTCATACAAATAGAAAACTACCCAGCACTTTCTAACAGTGTCTGTCCCACAGAAAGTTCCCATGTATTGCTTTCCAAGTTAGAGAAGTGTAAGGTGTAAGTGCAGTTCTTCCATAACACTGGTCTACAATTTTTGAGAAGTCGTCTGCTTCAGAGATAAAATGTGCTATTTATTATGTATTTTGATGTGCTGAATTCAAATATGACCATTAAAACACTGTTTCTAAGATATTTAAGTTTTTACATTTTATGTCTATGTATATTGTGTAGATAGTAGAGTTTTAATCATAAATTGTAAACCGAGGTCTTTTCTTGTGTTTATGGTTGCTTTACATGATAATATTTCACCTGTCCTGTTTATGTAACACTTTAAAAATCAGCAAAAGGATTATATAAATAGAATTTATTATGAAACAAAAGGCAAAAACCTGTTATGTACATAGTTTAATCCTATTCAGTGTCTACTTGGCGCTTCTTGGCTTGTCTCTTGTATTCATTAAATGGAGCATCTCTTGTCACTGTCCAGCAATAGACTGCAAGCATTGATGGGCTCCATTTGCCCTGATAGCGTTTCTCCATTGTTGCAATCTCCTGGTGAAATCGCTCGCCGTGCTCGTCGCTCACTGCGCTGCAGTTTGGTGGAAAAAAATCTAGATGAGAGTGCAAAAAATGTATCTTTAGTGACAT